ATACATTAAATAAAAATATATTAGTCTATTATAATTTTCTTAATCTTTGTACAAAGTGTCAAATTAACACTTATTTAAAAACAAAGGGAATATCAATTAAATCATAATTAACCTCAATTTCTTAACTTGAATTTTTAGTTTCAATTAAAAGACAGTTCTTAGTTTTTCTTAGATTTTAACTAAGAAAATATAAAGATAATCTCTTAAATAAGAGATATCATCATTAACCCCAGTCTCTTAACTGGGGTTCTTAGATTCGGCTAAAAGACGGTTTTTAATTTTTCTTAGATTTTAACTAAGAAAAACTAAGAACCGTCTTTTAAATAAGAGATATAAAGATCATTTTTAGCCGAAAAATGTAAAAATAAAAATAAAAAAATGTAAAATCATGAGTTAAAAACTTCGGCTAAGAGACCGGGATTAATGATGCTCTAAGAGCCGTCACTTAACCAAAAAGTATATAAAAAACTGTCAAATCATGAATTAATCATGTCCTTATGATTACATAAATACGTGCCCATCAGTACTTCATCGGCTAGTTTTTGTAAATTTCATCAACATATACTGTCTGGTCACTGGGAAACTAATGTCGTAAACGGCAAAATACGTACGTTATATAACACAGTAGGTTTCTAACATTTTAGAATTCTTTTTTTTTCGAACATTTTCAATTACTTATATACGATTGGAATTTCTCTAGCAACACCATTGTTAAGACTATTAAAGAGTGATACACGTAAGTGATATGTGATTAGTGTTTTTTGTCGTTAACAGTTTATCAATTTGCCTTTATGTTAAAAACTTTATAGTGTGGATCATTTAAATAGCTTTATCTTGTGAGTCATTCGTATGAACACTGAGTAATATTGGCTTTTCTCCACTAAGCTATGTTCATAATTAATACTGATACATACAAACTTCAGTTTATCCTGACTACTATAGATTCAATTAATCGAGCGATCGATCATAATGAAATAGTTATATTATTTCATTCTTAATATGATGGATCGCTCGATCCAAAGATATATACCAATACGTCCAATCATTTTTATTGGTATTTTTAAAATATGGTCTAATAATTATGTATGCAAAATAATCCCAAACTATTTTTTTTACATTAATTTTATTCTGTCGAATATAATAGAAGAAAGTAAGTTTGAGTAAATATATGGATCCGCAGAACCGACCCACACTTGATTTGAAAATAATATTACACAAACTAAAACTCACTAAGTACTCTAAAATTTTAATATTCGGATTCATACCTGAATCTGATCTAAACTAAAATATTTTGGATGCCAAAAATACCTAAATCACAATTATATACTTTAATATATTGATTTTCTTATATCTATTAGATATTCAAAACTATGAATTATCAAAGTATTCATACGTAAATATTTTAAAATAACAAAAGTTCACAACACTAAATATATATATATATATATATATATATATATTTTTTGTTCTCCATTTTGTTATAAATTCTAGGTATTTGGTACATTATTCAAAATTTTATATTTTATACTATTTTATTTTGAGGATTTAAGTATATTTGATTTTTGTTAAAAATATATAATTAAAATGGATATTCGAACTCGAACCAAACCCGAACCTGAACTGAACCAAATTCAAAATTGTAAATATCCTAATTAGCTTTAAAATTTTAATTTTAAAAATATGAAATCTGACTAAATTAACTGAATCTGAACGGATATCTCTTTGAAATAAAACTATACCACTAATCTCTTAATACAATAAAAAAATAAATAATTTAATCAACTATTTTCCTCCGCGCATGCCACTGATCACTACCTAATTATATACTATTAAGATTGTGGATTCGATTCTTTGCCACATAAATTTTAATGTTTTCTCAAAATAACTGGATGACCAAAAATATATTTTGTGTTTGGGAGCCTACAAAAATCAGGCATAGCCCTGTTCGTATGAACCGATTAAAACCAGAAAACGATAGGATCAAGGAGATTTAATTTCACCCACATGCTTGTCATTATTCCTTTATGTGGTAGCAACATATACAGATTTATACGCATACATCATTTATTAATGTGGGTCATCAGGTTTTTGAATTATTGAGGTTTGATCAGCCGATGACAGTTTTTTTTTTCTTTTTATTTATTTTTGTTAATTCTGCTAAGTGAGCAAAAACTCAGTCTAGAAATTCTATTGTTTTCTTTTTGAAGTTTCTTCAATTTCCTTAATTTTGTTTTGAGTTTTCCTCTAAATGATTCACATTATTAGTTTTTTAAAGTTTTCTTTAAAAACCCCGTGGATATAAACTGACAACAGATATGAAAATATTAGTCACTAATATATTTTCAAAATAATTAACCTAGATGTTGAAAATACTGTGATTTATATTTTTGTCACGTTTTACACGATGATGGAACTCGTTTACTTTTTTATGGGAAGATAAACTCGCATATATTAACTAATTGAAAAAAATAAACACAACCTGATTATTGCATGAAATAATACATGTCAGTGAAAATAATATATGTCCGTTGGAACCTTTTCCTTTTTTTTTTGTATTTCAACGTTCACGATTATATCTAAATATTGATCGTATGAAAATAGACCACATAGAGAATTAAGGGGCCGGGAGTGTGACGCAAAATTAATGCATGCAAAACAGCATGAGAACGTACGTGAACCAAAAACATACTATTAGGTACCAATCAATAAAAAGAAATGAAGATAAACCAGAAAATTATAGAGTGGAGGACAACCATAAAAGTGGCACCTCTCATATTTTAGTAAATTCTCGACCAAAATAAAAGAGAAAAAGAGATAGAGAGAGGGAGAAACAGAGAACGAATAAGAACAAGAATGATTTAACAGATCCATGATCACTGTTATCATTCGCCTACCACGTCACCCCTCTTTTGTCTATTCCTTCACACTTAATCTGTTTTAACTTAACCCTCCAAAAATGGAGAATTGTTTTCTTTTAACTGGAAAAATGGAGAATTGTTTCGTATTTTGTCCAGCTTTTGTCCAAAATATTCTGATTCCCTTCATCATATATATTGAAACAAACGAAAGAAGAAAATGTATATTCAACCAATCTCAATACTGATGTATGTTACTTACTACATTATTGAAGACCGTTACCAAAAGTGATAGGTACATGCATCCTTATTTGATTTTCTTAAAAAAGAGTACACTGAAAATAACTAGTATAAAAATAAAAGTTAGAAACGTCACAGAATGAAAATGACCAAAAAAAGACTTAAGTGTTACCTCAGATTAAATTAAATATAAAACGATTGAGTCCTGGAACTGGGAATTAAAAAGGAGAAGAAGAGCAGAAACAGAAAGAGAGAAGTGTCCACCAGCATGATGACGTGGTATAAGCTCTCCGTGTGTCTACAGACTCTAACGAGACGTTTGGAAAGATCACGTGATACACTCTGTTTAAAAAATCGGCCCTATCCTTCTCCATCCTGAATTTGTATCAAATCATTATAAAAATTGGTTGTCTGATTTTAATCCATCTAAACCACCTAGATGAACATGTAACCATCTAATCTATTTTCTATTTTTTAATAATATTTTATCTATTTAATTATTTGATTTAAAATTTAATAAATATAATTTATAAATAAAGTTTGATGAAAATTATATCATATTAAATTTATATATTCTGTTTATAAGTTTATACAGTTATATACAATTAAAAATTAACATATTTAATAATATATCAAATAATCTAAAAATTTCATCTCGTATAATTTTTGATTTTTTCTCTTGATGCTAGACTTAATCATACGGCCCGTCTAGTGCATTCTCAAACAGGGGATATACACAAGAATCTCATTTTCATGCAATTAGTATTATTTACACTTCTCCGGTAACGCATCGTTGTTTGTCTATTAGCTTAATTAGTTATTCTCAAGCGCGATGCTCCCTTTTGACGCATAGACTTGTGCCTAAAACATGCATGATTTATCGATTTCTTTGTGTACAAGGCATAAAAAACGTGTACTTCTAAACCAATCTGACTGGTACTTTTTCTTTTCTTTCTACTTTGATTAACCATCGAAAATACCATAAGGTTAAAGAAAACGGCGTCCATTATCTGAGTGTAGATACTTTCACCTAAAAATTACATTGGTCTAACCTTATCATCATCTACAAATTTTTAGATAATTTAATTGATCTTTGATGATCAGTTTCACCTAGACTTTTTTTTTCACCTAGAGTTCTCTAAATACCAATTCACATCAAACATATCCCCACTGTTTCATTTACGTTATATGTTTATATAAAGAGAACACATACACTACAATTAAGTTCACTATAAGCTATTTTGAAATTAATTAGCCAACTATGAAGCCTGGCAGCCTGCACTTCTATATAATCGTAAACTAGGTCTATATATTTATTATATTTCATCAAATAGTGAGGTGGGACATTTTGGATGGTCCAAATCATATGTGATCGTTTAAAGAAAAGAAAGATGAGAAGAAAATATTCACATTGCTTTTACCAAAATAAAAAAATTAAAAAATTTACCAAAAATATATTCACATCGCATTGTAATCTAGAGATGATTTTCACTATGTTGGTCGATGTTGGGTTGACTTTTGGTCACCATGATATTGCATGTAGCGTCTATAGTGCAAACTTACTATGTTAATCTGATTTTTGAAAGTTAATTGAAGAAGAAGCCGTGAAGGAAGTGAAATTGTGGAAATATGCATTTGAGATGCGAGTGGGGAAGAAAGGGTAAAGTTAATTAGTGAATGATAAAATGCAACGCTTTCTACTAATTTCTCCACTTGTCATGCAACCAGGCTGAGTTCGTTTACCCTTTTCGATTATTATTATTATATTTTATTATATATACTCATCACGTCACACGCTTCCAATAACTCAAAAACTAAAATCAAAATATTTTGACTACATGAATAGTTATTTGGAGCTATATATAAACCACCAGACTCATTAGTTTCCTCCATAAAATAAAAAGAAGCATCTTCTAGAGAGAGAGAGAGGGACAGAACAAAATTTAGGGTTTCCAAAAAAAAAATCTGAGACTTTAAAATGGGCGTCATGATCAATTATCATTTGCTCGCTATCATCTTCGGCATCTTAGGTAACGTTTTAATTATACATCCACAAAGGAAAATCCTAGCTGGTATCTAAGCTTCTGTTTTCAAAAATATCATAAACTATGTGTACGGTTTCACTGTATTAGTAGACGTTAATTAAACAGAAAGGTATTAATTAAGAAGCCAAATTTAAACGATGGGAAGTTTATCATGAAGCAGTACCTACTTATACAGATATATTATACAGTATATATTTCTTAATTCATTTCCGAATTTTTATTCATTTTTAAAACGATACGAGTCATTTGGAATCATTAATGATCTCCTAATCCTGTATTAAAATCCCAAACTACCCAAAAATGAATCAATACGAAAGCTTTTCAAATTGAAATCGTCACAGTGTAGTGAGATTAATGCATCAATTTAATTCCCCGATGAGGTTGGTTAGATATAACTCGGGTTGATTCATTTACTACAATCAACTCATTTCTTTTTAACGGTTATTTTCCTAAATTACAGGAAACGCAATATCCTTCCTCGTATTCCTCTCTCCATTGTAAGTGCATAACAACTCTTCTTCTTTTTTATTAGAACTGAGATTGGTTATGTGTTAAAATATTATTTGAGAATGATTAGTTACGAAAATGTTTCTCTGATTTTAATTGTTAATTTTTTGCAGCCCGACGTTTTATAGAATATACAAGAAGAAATCGACGGAAAGTTTCCAGTCACTACCGTACCAAGTGTCGCTATTTAGCTGCATGCTATGGCTCTATTACGCATTGATTAAGCAAAATGCTTTTCTCCTAATCACCATCAACTCCTTTGGCTGCATCATTGAAACTATCTACATCGCCATGTTCTTCGCTTACGCCACCAAAGATAAAAGAGTATTATTTTTTTTTAAATATCCTCCTTAACTCCAGTATGTAAAATTAAGCATGGCTCTAATTTTTTTTTTATCTTATGCGTTGCAGATGGCGGCTATGAAGCTGTTCTTTACTATAAACGTTGCTTTCTTCTCGTTAATTCTAATGGTTACACAGTTTGCGGTTAAAAGCCATAGCCTCCAAGTCTCTGTCATTGGCTGGATTTGTGTTTCCATTTCTGTATCTGTTTTCGCTGCCCCTCTAATGATCGTGGTAAATAATCGTTTTATTAAATTTTACTTCACAGGCTTGTTTCAAAACGTATAAAAACTTTGGTCTAAAAATGATTTTAAATTTTCTTGTTGGTGTGACAAGGCTCGTGTGATAAAGACAAAGAGTGTGGAATTCATGCCCTTCACCCTCTCGTTTTTCCTCACGATAAGTGCGGTTATGTGGTTTGCTTATGGTGCATTCCTCCACGACATATGCATAGCTGTAAGCATTTATTTTCATACAGTTTAATTTGGTTAAAAAAGGTGCCTGAGATTTTGTTTTTAATAATGAATTTGTAGATTCCAAACGTGTTGGGATTCATACTAGGGATGTTACAAATGGTTTTGTACGGAGTTTACAGAAACTCAGGGATGAAAATAGATGCTGAGAAGAAAAAGATAAACTCATCAGATCAACAACTTAAGACTATTGTCGTGATGAGTCCGTTAGGTGTGTCGGAAGTACACCCGGTTGACGTCACGGTGGACCCACTCTCCGTTCATCATGAAGATCTATCCAAACAGGTGGAGCCGTCAACTGAAGACAGAAAATGCCACGTGGAGACTGCCCATTCTTGAATATATTGAGAAGTAAAAAAGGCCGGTCAAAGGAAGAATTTATTTCGGTGGTTTGTTTTTATTTTTGTTTCGTATTTTTATTTCTTATATGTATGTACTTGCGTAAAGTTTTGTGTTAAAATCTTATCTTTAAGTGAATAAAATTATCTTTGTGCGTATGTTGAAATTGAAACTATAGTGCTCTTACAAAATTGCATATAAAAAACCGTAGTATAGCTAGATTATACTTCTACTTAGGGCTGGGCATTTTATCCGTTATATTTGATTCGATTCGTTATTCGTTTCGATTCGATCCGAAAATTCCGGATATCCGTAAACTTTCGAATCAAAGCAAATACTAAAATTCAATATCCGTTAAAATCGAAGCAAATCACAAATAGTAAAATTTTGGGCAGCGGATATCCGATCCGATCCGTAAATATATAAATATATGTATATCTTGATTATATTTAACATTTTAAATGTATAAAATTATATAATTATTACTCTAGCATATGATTTTGAAAAATTCTATTCAGATTATTACTTATATAAAAGTATTACATAAAAAGAAAGAAAGAAAATTATGACAATTATATTTTTTTTCTTAAATTTTGTGTTATTATAATTGTAACTTAAGCTTAAAAAAATTACAAAATATATAAATTCACTAGTTCTTTTAAACTTTATTTTATATATCATGCAAAAAAATATTTTTGCAAAGCAAATTTGTATCAAAATCTTAAGATTATTTGTATTAATCAAAATGGATGAGATATCCGTAAATATTCGTAAATATCCGCAAATATCTATTTATTTTCCGGATATCCGTATTTCCGGATATCCGTATTTTTTCGAAGCAAAGCAAATACCAAAATTAGATATCCGTAACATTCGAAGCAAATCACAAATACTTAAAAAAACCCGGATATCCGATCCGTGCCCACCCCTACTTCTACTAATAAGCCGGGATCCATGATTTATCATAAAGATGTCAACGTCAGTTAGTAAACGCATTGTAGAAGCAGACCATTGTCGACATAGTGTTCGATGATTTTGAGGATTAACAACTCCCAACAAAGTAGTGTTCAACATAAAAATGAAGTTTTTTTTAACATAAAAATAAAGTTAAGAGCCGAAACATGTGTACTGTATATAAGTTAAGCTATAAAACACCACTATAATATTAGAGAAACAAACTCGTAACGTAATAAATAGTTCAATAATAAATCTTAATAACTTAAAGTGGTTCCCATTTACAAATGACTCATTTATTTGCAAACAGAAAGAAAAGCATGATCGAATATTTGTTAATTAAATTATATTTTAGACATAAACGACATAATCCGACAATTTACCAACAAAAATTATTAAAAAACAAATGATTGCGGTTTATGATAAAATTATAACGATTATATCTAAATTCTTGTAATCTATAAAAGAAGCAGTTGAAGTTGGCTAACTTTTTCTTTATTTATAATCTTGCGTTAAAAAAAAAAAAAACTGTACATAAGGATAAGGTAATAGAAAGTAATTCACAGAGGAAAATCACACATAGGAAAATAAGAAAATCCTTTTCAAGAGAGTACACCGTCAAAGTAAGAAAAGGTCCCGACAGAAACTTGATAAGACCAACCATACTCTTACAATCTCAATAGGTTATCCTTTTATTTTATCATATTGTGAGGGCATGTGACCCACGTTGTCCAAAACTACCCGAATGTGGACATTAGCCACACCACATAACACTCAGAAGAAAAAGAGTTTACCTAGAAACACTAATCTTGATTCTTGGATCTTTGCAATTCAATCATCGACCACACGTCAAAATTGCCACATGTGACACATCACAAAACTAGAAAAAGACTCTACACAAACCTCCAGAATCTTCAATTAGAGTTTTGTTCTTAAATAGAGTCCCACTTTGGCCCATATCATAACATCACATATATAATGTACAATCAACTCACTGTCACAATGTTTTTTTCTCTCTATATTTCAAAATAAATAATAAAAAGGTAGCAATCAAGACCCAAACCGGTTCTAACCGGTGCCACTGCTCTCTGAAGTTCCTTGCTCACTCTGTCTTCGTTTCTCCCTCAAATTCTCTCCCCACATTTTAGCCTCAGCAACCACACGCTCCCTATCAATGTCTCTGTTCAAATTGCTAGCCGTCTCACTAGGTGAATCTTCCTTTTCAGAACCTTCTAGATCAAACTTGCCACCTTCTTCATCGTTCCTTGCTATTAACCTCCCACCATTTTCGTTCTTGTTTGGATCATAGGCTTGGTTTGCAAGATATGAGAGTGCAGTGACCACATCTGCTATTGGTGGACGTGAAGCCGCCTCCTGTTGGATGCACATTGAAGCCACAGCTAATGCTTGATACAGTGCTCGAGTTGGAAACTTCCCCTTTAACTTAGGATCAGCTAGTTTTATGAACCTTTTCTTGTCGTTGAACAATGGACGAGCCTGTTAAAACCAAAATAAATTACAGAATAAGAAACTAAATGAATGAATGTAACCAGAGGTTGTTAGCTTAACTGAGTAACCGTTGGGACGAAACTAATATTACATATTGTGGTTTCGGATGGTGCGCACGGGCGAAGACCCGAACCTCCTAATATATATATTTTTATGTGACACTGAACCTCCTAATATTCAAAGAAAAAATGTAAAAGTGAGTTATTTACCCAAGCCACTAGATTCTGTTGTCCATAAGGCATATCAGTATCTATTGCTTTTCTACCAGTAATGAGCTCAAGAAACACCACACCAAAACCGTACACATCTGACTTTACTGTCAACTGTCCGGTCATCGCGTACTCTGGAGCACAGTATCCATAAGTGCCCATGACTCTAGTGGAGACATGAGAATTGTCTCCCGTTGGTCCAAGTTTAGCAAGTCCAAAATCAGAAAGCTTTGGGTGGAAACCTTCACCCAGTAGAATATTTGATGACTTGAAATCTCTATAGATAACCGGAGGTTTTGCTTTATCATGTAGAAACTCCAAACCTTTAGCTGCACCAGCAGCTATCTTCATTCTTGTGTTCCAATCCAATGCCTCCTTATCTTGTGGAAGATCTGCCAAATGATAATAAATAAACAAATGAATGAAGAATCTGCTAAAGTGGTGAAAGATTAGAAAAAAATAAAAGAGATTTACCGTGGAGGTGATCTTCCAATGATCCTAAGGGCATAAACTCGTAGACAAGGAGGCGTTGATCTCCATCAGCACAGTAACCAATAAGGTTGACTAAGTTTGGATGATGAAGAAGGCTGAGCATAAGAACTTCTACTAGAAACTCTCTGTTACCTTGTAGACCATATATGTCTAATTGTTTAACAGCAACAACCTGATAGAAAAACAGATCAAGAGGTATGCAATGTGATGAAGCTAACATGAATGTAGAACTATACCTGACCGGTGCTTTGAAGCTTTCCTTTGTAGACACGTCCGAATCCACCTTCACCTAAGAAAGTGTCATCATGAAAGTTCATAGTTGCAGCAGCGAGCTCATGGAAAGTAAATGTATGAGCAGAAATTTGCTCAAGCCCATCTCTTGGAAGAAGTAGTTCCGTGTTTGACCCTACATTGCAACATCACTAAGATCAATTAATTCACACAAAACGCATCATCCGCAAAATATTATAATCTCTAACACCAAACCCTAAACACAAAAGAATAAACCACCCTAGAAGTATACAACTTGCTTAATAATCCTAACACATGTCACGGTAGGCTAATCAGGATCAAAATACAAGATGTAAAGAGTAAAGAGTAAAAAGAGATGAGAAACCTGAAGGAAGTGTAGAGAAGTTATTGGATACTATCGGTTGTGGTTGTTTCTGAGCCTTGGATGATTTTCCAACTGAATTAAACCACGAGAAACAAGAACAACCCATCTCCCTTCCCTCCACTCAAAGTTCCACAAGAGATGAATCAAAAACTTGCAAAAGCTCTTTGAATCCTATTCAGAAATCAATGAACATGAAAGTCGAGAAAACAGAGAGAGATGATGCAGCTTATTTACGAGTTCACGCTACAACCATTTCGTCAACGATCAATGGAGATTATCTTCCATTCTTTTATTTCTTTTGTCAACGAGATAATCATCTTCCATTCAAACAAATAAACACTTCCTTTTAACTTTTATTTATGTAAATATTTAATTCTCTATTACAAATGATTTGTCTGGGTCAAGACAAGGTTTACTCTCAGATTTGTTTCTTTTTTAATCTCAGTGATTAACGAAACAGAATAACATATTTTGTTGTCAACATACTTTTTGTCTCACCTATAAGTTCCAGTAAGTACCGGTCCTGACATAAAAAATACCATAAGTAAAAAATTTAAAATTTGGTCACTTTTATAGATTTTGTAGATAAATATCTCTAAAAAAATTGATTTGTGCAAATTTTTTTTGTATGGATTAGAAGCATGAGTTTGTAATGTTTTCCCTCAGAATCTACTAAAAGTAATAAATTTAATTGTTACTAGTTTTATAGATCAAGATGACACAAGTGGCTGAACTGAAAACGTTCTATCCTTACATTAGCACTGGTTATATGGTCTGTCCAATGGAGTAGGAGTCGTTTTGTAATCTTTTGGCATGACGTTAAAAAGTTTTCAAATTAAACAGTTGATTAATTATAATTCCACGTTGAAGATTGCAGTAAGTTCCGGGCCTGACATAGTTATAGAAACATGGGCTTTAAGCCTCATAGCATCATTAAGTTTATGAGTCCACTATACTTTTGAATTAAAATAATAATTATCCCAAATTTAAACTAAATTGCTAAATTTCCACCGTAACATTGAAAATGAAAACCTTAAGTTCGGTCAGGTTGACAAAAATAAAATTAAAAGAGAGATCGTGAGACGCATAATCATTCCCGCCGCTCGGTCAACGGACAATAGATCTCTAAAAACAAAAGAACCTCAGAAATTAAAAGGAAAAATATATAACCAAAAAAAGACAGAACACGAAGAAAAAAAAGACAAGAAAATCGCGACATTTAGATAGGTTTTGTAATTTTTTCCCCCGGCGAAATGGAGAAGCCTGAAAACCACGCAATCGAATCCGAAACTCTCGATCACATACATCATTCCGATGAATCAGAAAAACAACAAAAGCAATCACATAACACCGTCCCAACAGAGACGCCAAGATCAGACTCTTCCAAGCTCAGCCTCACGCAGCTAATGGACGCCGTCGACGATTTCATCAAATCCCTCTCCTCCTCAACCGATCCGTTACGAGAGATTCCTCCAACGGTCGAACCATTCCCGGAGACGGTTGATTCCTTGGTGTCAAAAATGGAATCTTCCGGTCTCGGACGTGACGAAACAGAGGACTCTGTATTCATCCTCGCCGTTAACCGTATCTCAAAATCGGTTACGACGTTAAGAGAGCTCCGGTTAGATTCCACCCCGGTTTCCTCGTGGCTAAACCGGGCTAGTTCGGTTCAGAACCGTGCCGCGTCTCTCCTCGACGAAGAGTTTCGTCACCTCCTTGATCGTTCCAGAGAGAACAAGAAGAAGAACAACAACAACAACAAAAACGGCGACGTATCGTCAGATTCAGCTGACCGATGCGTGTTGCAAGAGGAAGAAACGTTCCCTGACTTTCCACAGGAATCAATCACAACGCTGAAAAAGATCGCCGGAGCCATGATCTCGGCAGGATACGAGGCGGAGTGTTGCATGTCTTATGAGATGTCGAGACGGCACACGTTTAAGGAGGAGCTAAGCGAGGTTGGATTCGAAGGGATCAACGTGGAAGACGTTCAGAGAATCCCTTGGGAGTCTCTTGAAGGAGAGATCGCAAACTGGATCTCGATCGTCCGCCGTTGCTCCACCGTGCTTTTCCCCGGAGAGTTGTCTCTCTGCACCGCCGTGTTCTCAGATGAGCCCGCGACTCGTAAACGTCTCTTCACGGGGCTTGTCTCCGCCGTGACGATCAGGTTTCTTGATTTTTCGGGTGCCGTGGTGCTCACGAAACGGTCTTCAGAGAAGCTTTTTAAGTTCCTTGACATGTACGAAACGCTGAGAGATTTGATCCCTGCCGTTGAGGATTCTGACTCGGATCTCATCGAGGAGATTAAGTTGGCTCAGACGAGGCTTGGAGAAGCGGCTGTGACGATCTTTGGAGAGCTAGAGAACTCGATCAAGACCGATCAGGGGAGGACAGCTGTCCCTAGCGGAGCTGTCCACCCGTTGACTCGTTACACGATGAACTACCTCAAGTACGCGTGTGAGTACAAAGACACGTTAGACCAAGTGTTTCAAACCGAGTCCGAACCAGAGACTAAGAGAAACCAAAGAGAAGATGATGAGGAGTACAAAGTCTCAGCGTTTGGTAGACAGATGATAAGAGTGATGGAACATCTCGACGCGAATCTTGAAATCAAATCAAGACTCTACAGAGATCCAGCGTTAAGATCTATATTCCTTATGAACAATGGGAGATACATTCTACAGAAGATCAAAGGCTCCACGGAGATAAGAGACTTGATGGGACAAGCGTGGACGAGGAAGAGATCAACGGAGCTTAGGCAGTATCACAAGAGCTACCAGAGGGAGACTTGGGGGAAAGTGTTGCAATGTATGAATCAAGAAGGTATACAGGTGAATGGGAAAGTGTCGAAACCGGTTTTGAAAGAGAGGTTTAAGGTGTTCAATACTATGTTTGATGAGATACACAAGACGCAGAGTACTTGGATTGTGAGTGATGAGCAGATGCAATCGGAGCTAAGGGTTTCAATCGCGGCGTTGGTGATTCCGGCGTATAGGTCTTTCTTTGGGAGGTATAAGCAGCATATTGATTCAGGGAGGCATAGTGATAAGTATGTTAAGTATCAGCCTGAAGATATTGAGACTTTTATTGATGACTTGTTTGATGGGAACCCACCTTCTATGGCACGTAGGAGGACTTGAGAAACTATGAGGGTGTGAGATATATGATCTGGTTCCTTTTGCTTCTTTTTTATTTGCTTTTATGATTATTTTTCATTACGTTTCATGTTTATAGAACCGTTCTTGATCTGAGACTACCATGGAAACTTTTTGTTACTTTCTTACTTGCTATTTTTTAAAAAAATGTTTGGGTTTTTTCTATTGTTGACGACCTATGTTTTAAGTTCCTGTTCTAACAGGTTGTGAGCAAAAAATGTTTAGAATTAGGAGGTCAAGACAGGGAATTATCTTCCAAATGTAATTGAATATTGTGTGTTCTAAACGATGATTTTGATCTATGATGAGATTAATCTTTTGATATACTATTTTCAAGATATGTAATAGGCATCTCTATTAGCAAATATATAACGATGTGTAGTGATGTTGTAGAAACTTGACTCTGTTGATTTGAAGCCACAGACAAGACTTCAGAGGTTGTATATAGAGGCAAGATATGCATACAAATTTGACTATCAGTATTTCAGATCTTCCTAAGAGTGGAGACGGTAGCTTCATGTCAATGCATGGTTTTCGTACTTGGAACCTAAGAAAGCAATAAACCCTTCAAATTCTTATTGATAAAAGGCATTATTTCAAAAAGTACAGAAATGAAACACACAAAAATAAGTATAAACTAATTAGTGTTTGTAATTGATATACTTATTAATGTGTAAATTATAGAAGGTAAAGATTTGGTCCGAGAGAAGAAAAGTTGTGAAGGACTATTGTCAATGCATGTCTTGCAAACTTGGATCACAAGAAACCCACCAAACCCTATTATCAACCTAAGACAAGATATTGACAAATAGCATTACTCCAGAAATGAAAAAATACATAAAATAAATAACTGGGAATTTTTAATCTGTTGGCTAATATACTTAGATCTGTACAACTTTTTTTTTTGTTTTACAGATGTAAGTATTTGGAGCAAATGTGAAACACCATGTCAACTATATTATTTAGCCCTGCGAGTTTTAACCGAAACCGATCAAACCAAACCGAAATTTTCGGTTTTCGATTCGGTTTTGGTCTTGATTTTGGTTTCGGTTTGGAATGGTTTTGAAAATTAATTCGGTGTTTGGTTCGGTTCGGTTTTAATCTTTTTTTTCTTGAAAATATTAAAAACCAAAAATATCCGAAAATAACCAAAATTTTGAAGCGAACTATCCGAATAACTGAATTTAACCGAAAATAACCGAATTTAACCAAAAATATCCGATTGTTTTAGAAAATTATACCAAATCTACCCGAAACAAAAAAAATCGGTTAATTTAGAAATTAAAGTTAAAACTGAAAAGAACCGAAAACCGAACTGATTTTCTTTTCTGGTTTAGTTTGATAAAATTGTGGCTGAACCGAATAAACGGAAACCGAAAATACCCGAACCGAATTATCTGAACTCGTTGTATTGATTATCTTTTTATAATTTTTGTCCCTTAAGCACCCTTCCTTAGCACCCCCAATAAACATGCTCTTAGTGTATTGATTGTTTTTTTATAATTTTTGTCGCCTTTTAGGCTGATACTGGGCCACTCATGATTAGAGCCCACGTCAGCAGAAAACGGCCCAACTATAATTTATGTGGACAATAATATTTTTATTAACAGATTGATTTCTCTACTTCCTTTCACACAGACTCTCATCAGCAACACCCAACCAACACTGAGCTCTCATGGCGGCCTTCTCGATGACTCTGGTGCGTTTTCCCTTAATTCTCTTTCTTCCAATCTTTTTACTTTCTGTGTTACTAATCCCTCTCATGCTCTCTCTCTTCTTAGTCAAATCCGAAGTCGTTCTCAGCTGCTCCACGAAGACTTTCTCCGATCAACACCACCGCTCTCTCTTCCACCACTCTCCGCTTATCCACCAAGCCTACTACCTTAGACTTCATAAAGTTTCAATCTTTAACGTCCTCGTCGCTCCTCGTCCATACATCTTCCACCAAAAGAAACAACCGCTGCTTCTCGGTTCAATCCAGTGCCGAGGTTAATTGTTTTAGAAATGAGTCATTTTGATTAGAACTTTGAGTTTGAATTTGAGGGTTTTCTTTAGATTTGTGAAAAGCTATGACCTTTGGATTTGATTTTTTTTTTTTTTTTTTTTTGGTATTTTTACAGCCTTTAGCTGAGCCACAAGCGAAGATAACACATAAGGTGTATTTTGATATAAGTGTTGGGAATCCAGTAGGGAAATTAGCTGGGAGGATTGTTATTGGTTTGTTTGGTGATGATGTTCCCCAAACTGTTGAGAACTTCCGTGCTCTTTGTACTGGTATGTTCCTTTTTGTTGTGGTTTTTATAGTCAGTGTTGGCAAAAGCTTAATCAATCTTTTCTCAATCAGGTGAGAAGGGGTTTGGGTACAAGGGTTCAACTTTCCACCGTGTCATTAGAGATTTCATGATTCAGGGTGGAGACTTTGACAAGGGCAATGTGAGCTTTCTCACTCAATCCTTGACGCCATCTAGTTTTTAAAATCATGTCAAAACTTTGGTTTTTCTCACTCAATCCTTGACGCCATCTAGTTTTTAAAATCATTTCAAAAGTTTTTTTTTTTTTCACTCAATCCTTTGACGCCATCTGGATTTTACTTCCTAGGCTAGTTATTAAGAGTTTGTTTGGGGGAATCATTTGATAGAGTTTGATTGTAACATGTGAGCTTGTTTGTTTAAAGGTCTACTTATGGGGCATACTTATACACATTATGTGAAATTAATCTGTAAATGCTGTGGAGATTGTGATCTGCTTCCTTCAATCATGGGCAAGTTATTAAGAATAAAAAGACATGATTTGAAAAAAAAAAGCCAAAGTTTTGAGTTATGATTCATTTGTTTCTATTTGGTAGATGGAAAGTAGGAAACACTCTTCTTTATAGACTTTTGTTTTTCTCTATAAGTAATACATGGACTGATCATCATAGTTGCGGTAGGGAACTGTTCATGGGATACTAATCTATCTGAGGCTCTAGCATATGCATCCACAAATTATATTGTTTTTTTATTCTGTTTCTGCTTCAGTTACTGTATGTACCTTCTAGTAATTAGTTTCATTATGATGATATAGAAGTCTAATTGTTGAGCAGGGAACTGGAGGTAAAAGTGTATATGGCCGGACATTCAAGGATGAAAATTTCAATTGTAAGTCTTATCCTTATCTCTTGTGCACTCTAGCAAACGAAACTTGTCGGTTGTGATGCATTTCCGTATTCTATTTTTATTGGCATTAGTATGTAACACATACCTTCCATTTTACAAAAATTCAATGAAAATAATGATGTGAAATATATACAAGTGCAGTATCCCATGTCGGACCAGGAGTTGTGAGTATGGCAAATGCTGGCCCTAATACCAATGGAAGTCAGTTTTTCATCTGCACTGTTAAGGTAAAAACTTGCAAATATTCTCCCTCCGGTTAAGGCCTATTGTTAGATCAGAAAATAAGTACACAATAATCTCACTAGTCCATAAGAGTCTCTATAGTACAACCTAGAGATATATATAAACTTGGATTTTCATTGAAATGTAGTACCCAACCAAGTTTTGTTGCTAAGCTGAGTCTATATCAATTAATATTGAACAGACGTCATGGTTGGACGGGAGGCATGTGGTGTTCGGGCAAGTTATAGAAGGAATGGATGTGGTGAGGCTGATAGAGGAACAAGAGACAGACAGAGGAGACCGTCCCAGAAAGAAAGTGATCATTGCAGACTGTGGTCAACTTCCAATGTCTGAAGCTTAAGTAGCATCATCTAAAAACCCAAAAAACCTTGTGACACTGAGATGGAACTATTCATATGTTTGCATTTTTACACGCTTTCTTCTTTTGTGAAATGGATTCAAATCCCTTTGTATTAAGATCAATTTCGGTTTCTTCTTTTTGATCACTTTGCCTTGAGGTTTAGCCGAGCAAAGATGTTCTTAACTTTACTAACAGATGCTACAGAAGAAACAAATGAATCAAACAGAGCTTCTTGCTTCCATTATTAATAGTACAGAAAAGAAAATAAGAGAGACGTGGAAGAATCTTGACTCCTACATAAACCTATACCAAAGGTATATGCCAACACAAACAAATCTTTTGATGAGACTCTTTTACTGGTCAAGGCTGACATCACCCCATTGAACCTTATGCTTAGCAGCTAGATAATGAGCACCAACTGGACCACGACTCCCATAAGGATAGTACTCAGGGATTCTCTTCTTCTCTTCAATCTCTTTAAGCAATGGAGTGAATAGTGACCATGCTGCATCAAGCTCGTCACTTCTTATAAACAACCTTCTTTCTCCTTCTATTGCATCCAGCAGAAGCCTCTCATATGCGTCTGGTATCTCCTTTGAATACCTGAGGGGCAAAAAAGAGTTCAAAAGTTAAGATAAGTTATTACTAGAGCAAAACTTCACACTCACTTACCTTGCGGAATACAGAAGATTCAAGTTACTACGATCTAATCTCATTCCTAAACCAGGGACTTTATTGTTTATCTTCAAATAGATTGCTTCATCTGGTTGGACACGGATCACAAGCTCGTTTGTAGCTTTATCAAGATCACAACCAGTAGTATTCCTGTTATACAAATTCCCCGGAACATGCCTGAACTGCACCCTTATCTCTGCCCTGTATACATATTGAGTCAAGAGTCAATAAGCAAAAAGATTCATAAGTTTTGAAGTTATATATGCACATACCTCCTGGTGTGTAGTGCTTTGCCAGCTTTCATTAGAAAAGGCACACCATCCCATCTTGCATTGTCTATAAAAAGAGCAGCAGCTGCAAACGTCGGAGTCAGACTGTCTTTTGGTACAGTTTTATCATCGGTGTAGCCTGGATATGACACTCCTCCCTTTGTGTGGCTCTTGTACTGTCCTATCACCACATCTTCCATTTGAATTGGCCTCATTGAACGTAGAACCTTAACCTGGATTGGGAGATATGCTTTCTTGAACCAAAACACAACTTATAAAGAGACTAAAATAAAAAACAAATCAAACCTTTTCATTTCTGATATCCTCTGCATCTAAGCTAACAGGTGTTTCCATGGCAAAGAGTGCTAAGATTTGAAGCAGATGATTCTGCATTATATCTCTTATTATTCCATAATGGTCAAAGTACCCTCCACGTCCTTCAGTGCCAAAGTCCTCAGAGAATATGAACTGCACGTTCCTTATGTACTGCCTTGACCATAGAGGTTCAAATATAAGGTTTGAGAATCTAAGAACAGATAAATTCTCCACTAGCTCCTTTCCTAAGTAATGGTCAATCCTGAAAATCTGATCTTCTTCCAGATACTGCTTGAGGGATTTGGTTAAAGCAGCAGAGGTTTCAGAATCTCGGCCAAAAGGTTTCTCTACAATGACCCTAGTCCAGCCATTGACAGATGAAGCTGAAGAGCTAGCACATTTCACAGCGTCTACAAATATATTTGGAGGGATAGAGAGATAAAAGAGACGGTTTGAGATTCTACCAGCCTGTAGAAAGAAAAGAGAGAGGATTAAGTAACACCTAATAAAACAGAACCAGACTCCTCCAATCTTCTAGTGTAAGCAATGCAAAACATACCTCATGTTCCTTGAGCTTCTTGTCTAGTTCAGTAAAATGTTCTTGAGAATCATATTGACCAGAATGGTAAAAACATCTCTTGAGAAACTCTTCCATCTTCTCACCACAGTTTGCCCTAAAATCCAGATGGCATAATGATCATATAGTCTTCAACTAAAAACTTAAGAAGCTAAAACAGCTCACCTCTTATCAATCCTGCAGGTCAGAGTTTTGCTGACCATGTTTCTAAGTTCAACATCTGTCATCTTACTCCTAGAGTAACCGTATATTGTAAAATGCTGCGACAACAACAAAACCAAATCATCAGATCATCACGCTTTGGTATGCAACATAATATAACTAAACACAAGCTGTGAGAACATTATGCTTTTGGTATGCAAAACACACTAACACAGGCAATAAAAATAGCTGAAACTAAACGTAAAAACAAGATACCTCGGGAAGACAGTCTTCATAGTAAAGTGCGAAAAGGGCAGGAAAAATCTTCTTCTTGGCAAGATCACCAGAGGCTCCAACGACGGTGATACTCACCGTTGGCTGGCTTTGACCATTAGATTCTGATCCAACCTTGGCTGGTTCTTCAGATAGTACTGATAACACCTCATCTTTCAAATCCTTAAGAGAAGATTTAGTATTCTCTGAATTGGTGACTATTGCACCTAAAGAAACCAATCTAAATGTCAGAGCAAGCCAAGTCCCTCTTTCTACTAATGATTACATGAGAATTGAAAGTTTCAATTTTTCAAATTCAACTTGGTGTTATTAACCTTACATTTAAGGCTTGATCAAATTCAATAGAGGAAGAGGAAGTGATTCAAAAAACTAACCATCTTGCATAAAGACAGAACTACGACCAGACTTTCTCTGGAATCTAAAACAGAGCTCATAAGCTTTGAACACTCGTGGAGAAGCAGACAAGAACGAGAGTGATCGATGTTTGTTACCGTTAACCAGTGAGAAAGACGTAGCAGAATAACAAGAACGAAAGGTGAGGGAGGAAGACAAAGACGCCATCATCAAACGTATTACTACAGAGAGATAAATTGGTTAAGGCTAAAGAGAAGGTTATGATTTTAAAGAAGAACATAAGAAACATCGAAAGGGCATTTCTGCAAATTAAAAACCTTTTGAGATCTCCCAAAGGTTCTGTTCTTCTCACTACTGTAATGGGTATGGCAACGTGAATGGCGTCTCGAGAAATAAAATATTAAATTCGACCGAACACACCCCACAAGTGGACTTTCACTTTCTCCTTTTGTTTGTTTCATTTCATTACAAGAGATCATGTCCGAATGTTATACGTTTCTAGTAAAAGATGCTCTCTCTCTTTTTTTTGGGAACTGTCAAAATCAAAACTGCTCAGGAAAACTTGCGTATTACAGATTCATCAACTCTTACAACAACAAAAAAAACAAGACTTCTCGTTTTCTTCCCTCAATAACGAACAAACAATGATACTCTATCAAAACACAACTACAAATGTGGTAAGAAGAAGCTTAACTCGCAGGCTAGTAATACCCTGCACAAAACTCAAATCTCCCTAACATGATTCTCTTTCTACCAACAACAACAAAACTAATCAAAACCCTCAGAAACTGTGGTTTTGAAGAAAGCTCAAAAATCACAAAACGAGGGCTACTTTCTCATGAGATAACATTGGAGATGCATTTGCTATTAATGGCTCGTAATGATCTGCTCCACCACCACACCATCCTTAAAAAAAACAAGCATAGGCAATTTCATTAATTACTAGATCTAAGAAACAACTAATGGATCTTATCAAATGGTGTTTTTTTTTTATTATACCTGTCCCTTTCATGAATAGAAAGAGTGGAGACTCAATAACTTCACTTCTTGGCTTATGAGGAAGGAAGAACACACAGTTCTCTTCCTCCACCATCCCATCTGCTCCATGCGCTTGCACCTATAAATAAATAACACACAACCTTAGTTTTAAATCTAATTTGTAAAACACAAAACTTTGATAAAGACAAAACAATACTCACCACATAGATTTCTCGTTTGAATTCTGTAGCGAGACATTCAATAGCAATATCATCCCCAAAAGCAGCTGCATGTCCTTGTCTATTCTCATCTACAGATAACAAACCATCTTCCGTATACTGTAAAGTGATTATATCATACTCATCTTCTGATGACCCTGATATCGACATGTACTTGGCCCAACTAGGCCCATCGTTCACCGGTAAACATCTCTCTCTGTAGATTGACTCTGCAGCTGTTTCTCTACAATGAACAAACAATTCAAACACAAGACAATATGCGTTAATACAAAAGATCTATTTAAAGTTAACGTTTGATTCCGACAACATTAGTAATGAAACCGACAAAAAAATTACATTTATTTGAAGTTTTATGCTCCCTCTGTTTTATACTCCCTCCGTTTCAATTTATTTGTCATTCTAGGTTTTTACACCCAGATTAAGAAAACATTTAATTTTACACATTTTCAATATAAAAACACAATTACCAATACACCTAATCACTTTTTAACTAATAGCAAAATAGAATATCATATAAACCTAATAAATTATGTCTCAAACTGTAAAACGACACTTATTTTGAAACGAAATTTTTTCCTCTAGAATGACATCTAATTCAAAACAGAGGGAGTAATAAGTTTTGTTTTAGACTTTGGCACGAATTAAGGAAACAATAAATTTTACACATTTTCCATATAAAAACACAATTAACTATATACATAATCTTATTTCATCAAATAAAAAATAAATTACAGAATAAAATTAATAATTTTTTGCATTGAAAACCGAAAAACAAAATTTTTTCTCTAAAACGACCCGAAATCGACAAAAAATTACATTTATTTGAAGTTATATAATTAACCCAAGTTACTTTTTTTTGTCAACAAGTTAGTTACATTTGATTCCGACAACATTAGTAATGAAACAGAGACCAGATCTGAATGTTATTGTAAGAAAACAACCAAAAAAGGAAGTACCTTTGCATTCCGATTTGCATAAGCTCATCAATGGCCGAATCTAAACTCTCACGCTCATCTTTCTTAGCAAGCAGCTTCTCCTCCTGAACTATATGAATCCCCCACCCACTCTTCAGATCCGGCGAATACATATGCCTAATCGCCTCCGTGACAACCCTCTTCTCTTCCTCTCCCACAGATCCGAAATCCTCGAGAAACCTCCTCACCGTTCGCCGCCTTAGGTCCCGAGCGTCGACCCCACACGCCCCCATTGCCTTCTGCGACGCGGTGAAGAGACAGTTCCCGTCGGAGGAGACTTCTCCGCCGTGAGAGAGGCGGAAAACGACGGGAGGAGATGAGGTTTGTCCTTTTCCGGGGTGTTTCCATAAAACGCCCATCGCGTGGAGTCGCTGAAGGTGCCGTCTTTGTTGCTCCTCGAGACCGTAGACCTCGTCCCATGCGGTGGTTGCGGCGGCGGACATGGTTTTCTCCACCGCTTCGACGGCGGCGGCTGCAGTTGATTGGTCGACGAGATCCACGTCATCGAGAGGTTCTCTCCATTGAACGGTAGGTGACGGAGATTGCAATGTCGCCGTTGAATCGCAGAGAAGCTTTCCCATTATTACAGAGTTTGAGAGAGAGAAAGAGAGAGAGAGAGTTTTGTCTTAACGGCTAGATATGGGATGTAAGAGAATGCGTTTGTTGGAGTTTTAACGGTCAGATCTGTTAAAGACTTATAACGCGGGAGAGGAGAGGAATACACGTGGCGTAATCTTAGTGGTTTTATTTAGTCGTCTGACTTAACGAATGGCTGAGGTTTGACCGCGCTTACGGTGGACCACACCACTCCATAACAGTAACCTACCTTTTGTGGTTTTTTTTTTTCATTTTTAATCCTCACTTGATAACTTATTTATTAATTTGTCCCCCTAGCTGTCCGTTATTAGCTGTCGCACACATGTTCTCTTTTTTTTTTGGTAGCTTACCAATTATAGTTAGCCACGTCAGTTTTTGTAAGGGAGTTGACCAATGAGAGAGGCTGGTCACACGTATGAGATGTGTCAGGGATGGGGCGATATGAAAGGAGCTGCGCCACATGTGTGTATTTGTCTTGGACGGTGTGAGCAACGTCATGGATCGGTGTGCTAAAATTAACGGAATTCTTTTTTCTTGTAACGGCTAGAAAAAGATAAATCTCTGCTTTCCCATTGGCGTCTGTGTAATAAATAACCTAAGTAGTAAAGGACCTTGATTTAATGTTGTGATAGAGATAAAATGAAATTGTTACATTTATTTGTCCTAGTCTTTTATTTGTAGAAAATATCAAAATAAAATAGTTTAGTAAGTGTTGACAAAAAAATAGTTTAATAAGTAATAACTATTAACTAATAATTTTATATGAATATGATATGAAAACCTGAGGTGATTATTTTACTTAAATATAGTTTGGTAAATCATGTTTTTGTGTGTCACAAATAGTTTAGACAATGGCAGGTTTTTCAGGCATAAAATTTTCAAGCACTGAGAAAAAGACTTAATATTTCCTTTTTTTGTCAAGGAAAAGACTTAATATTTCCTTTTTTTTGTCAAGGAAAAGACTTAATATTTCAAAAGTATAATGCAAGAGCTTTTAAAATCTTTTAGGTTATTGTTGCACTCAACTCCCCATAAAAAAGGCTATGTTTGCACTTGTTGTTCAATAAGATGATACAATAATGTTAGTGGCCCAATACCATGTTAAGAAATCAGAATATAATGGGTTATCTTTCAAAGCCTATAGATAACTGGGCCTTTATGCCTGGGAAGCCCATGTAGATATAAGAAACTTAATTCCCTCCAAATCCCACAAAGTGAAAAGTGCATCCAAAAGATAAAAGAGAATATTTGAAAAGAGAAGCTAATCATTAGGAGCAGCTATGAATTGAATTATTTTTAGAATCTTATTGGTAAGGTAAAGCAAAAACAATTCCAATATTTATTAGTAAGAAACAAAGAGCTTATAACTACCATATCAACATCCTTTTTTTCTTCTCTGAAATTAAATATAAACTTATTAACATCTATGTTCAATGTTGCATACAGCATGCTAGACTGATTATATGTACACTTGAGCCATTAAACAGTTTGTATATTACACAAAAAGTAAACAATAATGTACTAATTTTTTCCTTTATTTCTTGACTTCTACCCAGAGAGAATGCGACGAGACAGAGGACAAAAGCATCGAAAGAATAAAAAGGCAAAAACTTGCTTAATGGTTGATGGAAAAAAGATAGGTGAGGTGGGCCGTATAATTGGAGTCCAAAAACAATAAAATAAAACGATATAATACTTTCCTGTCTCCTCCTCCTTATCTCAAGAATAATTATAAACTTAAAAAAAAAAAAAACAATAACAAAAGACTGTTCATCCTCGTCTCTCCCAAGAAGAAATCAATCATGCAAATGAAGAAGAAAGGTAAAGTCTACCCATCTCCACCATCATCATCTCACTACCTCAACGAAGATGAGTCTCTCTCTGTGTTGAGACTTCTCCCAGCTACAATCTTGGTTCTAGTTTCTGTTCTCTCAACCGAAGACAGAGAAGTTCTTGCTTACTTGATCACAAGAGGAAACTGTGGAAGAACCTCGAAGACAGCGAAGAAGAACAAAACTAGCAGAAACCACCACAAGCCTCCTGTTTTCGACTGTGAGTGTTTCGATTGTTACACTAACTACTGGTTCCGTTGGGATTCATCTCCTAACCGCGAGCTTATCCACCAAATCATCGAGGCCTTTGAGAATCACCATACCGGCGGGGAAAACTCGGTTTCGAAGAATAAATCTAAAAGAGGTAATAAGAAGAAAGAGAAACCGGGTCGTCGGGTGGGTGAGAATGATAATAAACCGGTCGTGGAGGTTGTGTCAGTGTCTGAGAGCCACGTGTCAACTCCAGATAAGTCTCCGGAGAGATTAAATGAAGCTGAGGTGGTGAAACGAGAGCCGCGAGATGAGGTTGTTAATGAAGAGGAAGAATCGACAGTGGAGAATCCGGGGGTAGCTGAGACGGGGCATAAGGGATTAGCGAGGAAGGTGTTACCGGACGTGTTGGGTCTGCTTAATTCCAGTTTTTGGCGACTTTGGAATCCGACCGCTTAAAAGCATCAATCGACTCAAAGTTTATGCTTTTTTTTTTCTGATGTTTTTCATAAGAAAAAAGATAACCCAATCTCCATGCTTTTATTTTTTCTTTCGTTCATGTCTTTTAAAAAAATATATCAATCACTATGTTTGATATTCTTGGTTGAAAAAAAAATGCAGGCATTATCTTTTTTTTTATGTTCATTAAATTATCTAAAATGTTCAAATCTTTAAGTTTATCAAATGTATTCAGTGTTTAGTAGTTTCAAGCTCTTTAGCTTCTTGTGCATTTGGTTTGGTGGAGAGACACTAGTCTCTATATTTTGCTTAGGAACAAAGTCTGTGGATTAGGTGGACTGTTTGAAAGGAAAGGGTGGGCCAACAAATATCTTTCCTTTTGAATAAGGCATCCCTTCATAGTGATGAGAGTGTGTCGTTTTCTTTCTATATTCTAAAGACTATACAAATTTTTTAGCATCCTCATGTTTATGTCTTTACCTTATCCTTATAAGTTAGGTTAGGTTTAGAGTCTTTAATGCTCAGACATCATCAATGTATACTCTAGAAAGTACTTCATTTAGTGTTGTGATCTACCAAAGATTCTGGTTTTGTAAACCAAAATCTTATTTTTTTTTATCAATATAGTGAGATACCATAATCTAGTTTACTTTTTTGGTAATATTGCTCTTTTTAGTAACGGATCTGAATCCAAGGTTTTAAGTTTAGTACCTGCTTCTCTAGGCCTAAACTTTCTTCTTCTACTCCTCAAACCCAATGTCTGGTGGCCCACATAATCAGGCCCAAATCATAACGGATCAAGCAAGCATGGATTAGCAACAAGAAATGGAAAGAAAACATTGTAGGAAATAAACACGTGCGTTTCCAAGATTTTCCTTAGTTTCTTTTGTAATATTCAAACATCATCTACCCTCTTAATATTGTTCCTCTTTTTCCTTTGCCTTTGCACTTTAAATGGTCCAACAAGCATGGACTAGCAACAGTGAATGGTGAGCTACTTTGTTTTTTCCCGATTTGAATCAAATTAATTATTGTTAAATGATCCCATTTTCAACCTTGGAAGATACTTATCAACCACGTCTGCGCCAAGTAGAATCCTTTTGCTTATCTTCTACAAGAGTTTAGTTAAAGTTTTGACCAATCAACGTAAAAACGCGTATTTACTGATGTAAAAATCAAACCATGGATTATATTGACTTTTCATCATCTTGCCAAGGAAACGAAAAAACGAAGCAATACACGTCACAAGTTATATTCAATAGACAATTATCTCCACTGATATACATCCACGGTATTATCCAACAAACTAAACAAAAATGGTAAATATTTCGCCTTAGAATTGGTACTAACTACCATATAATATGTTGTTTATCATCTGTGCATTGAAATGAAGAACCGATTCAGATTATTCCACTTCTTTCACGTGCAATTAGTCTATATAAATCGGTGGTCCACAAATTAACTCGCATATTCAAACTTTGGAAAATATCCACTTTATCAATTATTACATATTAACGAGGTTTTTATATGTATTGATTCAAACATAGTAGACTTTGAATGATCTAAAACCAATGATGAAAGTATAAAGTATTATTTATATACTATGTAACATGACGTTCGGAAAATAGAAAAACGTAAATAATAATGACGTTCGACGAAAAAGAAAAACTTGGACCCGTATGACGTCACTAGATATACTAATCTCGTTTGTTCGTAATGATCTTCCACAGTAAAATCTATGTTTTTCTTTTTTATGCTAAAAGTAAAAATCTATGTTCTTCTTCTTCTTTATATATACATGAAAAAACTATGTTCCTACAAAACTATGTTCGGACGTGCATGCATTTTTTTCTTTTTCAAACCGAATATCCTGATCCACCGTGGTGATCTGAACTAGAAACCGAAGTGAACATAAACCCGAAAATCACCAGGTCACTTACCGTGTAACGATTTTCGGTCTTAGATGCTGCAGCCTATATGTAAATTTTGTAGTGACCACTCAAACCTAAGGACCGAGCATTTCAACTGGAGTTCTTTTACCATTAGACCAAAACAATTTGAATGGATCGTTAGACAATCGTTAAAAGCAGAATATTAATTTATTCGTACATAAATGGAGTATATATCTTTTAACAAATATGGATTAACGGGTTAATTACATATAGTGTCATTAATTCCACATATGTAAAAAGCTTAATCCTTACGTGTCGTCTACGACACTGCCCCTTCTAGTTCTGCTTTTACAATTAACAGCGGGCCGCCTCTCCGTCTTTGACTTGGCAGTCTGCCTTAAACTCCTATAAAATATAGATTATAGTATTATTTATATGCTTGTTTTCACACAAGATCCATATAATACCAAACAAACAACCAAAACAAAAGGAAATTCTTTTTTTTCCTCTTCTTTTGTTATAAGATTCCACAACAAATTAGGAAGTATGGAGGAGTTATTTCAAAATGGATCGTCTTATGCTCCGTTTTTGTCGCTGACATCGCATCAAAATCTTAAATCGGAGTTCCATCAAGGAGAAGAAGAAGAGGCCTCCAAGGTTATTAGATCAGAAGGCTCTTCAAGAAGCGTGGCGGTGAAAAAGAAGGGGAAGAAACAAAGGTTTGCGTTTCAGACAAGGAGTCAAGTTGATATTCTTGATGATGGTTATCGATGGAGAAAGTATGGCCAAAAAGCTGTCAAGAACAACACGTTCCCTAGGTTCCTATTCACTTCTCCTTTGCTTAGCTTATTTATTCATCTATTTTTCTTTATAGATTAGAGTTACACTGTACACATGTTGAACCAACCTCAAATTTATGTAAATATATCATTTAGATCGAGTCTAGATTGATTTATAACTAGTTTGCACATATGAGTTGATTAGTTCTAGAACGAGATCAGTGATCTATGTTTTAATGTCAAAACCAATGATTAAGATGGAAAATCAATTAAATGTGCATTTAGGAAATAATCTGATGACTAATTTGCTCTTGTGAATAACTCAATGATAATATATTCATATCATTCACATCAAGTCTTAGTTGATTTTAGCTAATTTGCATACAGACTGAATAACTTTAACGCATTAATATTTTATAGTCTATCTAAAAAACAGTGTCTAACATGAAAGATTTATCTTAAAAGTGAACTTGGGAACACTGTTAATGACTCCAAACATTTCTCTATTAGGCGAATTTTTGTTTCTGCTACTAATGGTTTAAATACATGTGCAGGAGCTACTATAGGTGCACATATGGAGGATGTAATGTAAAGAAGCAAGTGCAAAGATTAACGTCGGACCAAGAAGTCGTAGTCACAACCTACGAAGGTGTACACTCACATCCCATCGAAAAGTCTACAGAAAATTTCGAACATATCCTCACACAAATGCAAATCTACTCTTCTTTTTAATTTAATCTCTCAATCTTTTATACCTTTTGTAGCGTATAATTCTGAGAGCTCGTGTTGTAAATTATACTTGTATAAAAAGTATAATATTACATTTTCATGCATGTTGAAAGAAAAAATAATATTCATCTGAAATTTATATATATTCATTTAGAAATAAAATACTTAGATCTAGATATTTCGTTTTCTCTAATACCTACAGGTACATATTGGTTTTTACCGGTATTTAATCAATGCTTTGAGTACTTTATCAAGTCAAATTGTGTGTTTAGAATTTTTTAGTTCAGTATCAAGTCTTTTCAAGATTTATGTCGAATTAGAACAGATAAAATTCAAATTGAGTATAAAGAAACAAATAAGAGACGGATTCTTATATTCCACTAAAAATCCCGCCGTAAGAACCTCTCATTGAAGATGGTCTAATTGTGCAGAAGGTCACAAGCTTAGCAATGGACCAAAAGTTGTAACCGACACTATGAGTAAGGAGTTAAGCTCAAGGCACCTGTTGTTGGTGTTGGTTCCTAAGGGCAGTAAACTGAGCAGCAAGCTGATCATAGTCAGGAAGCTTAGGATGAACATGCTTAACTTCCTTTAAACCACTTTCTCCTTGTCCTTTTTCCTTTTGATCAGGCCACATTGTTGTAAACACGTTGTACACTATATGGTAACACTGACCACTACTCTCTTTCTTTTGACGCCTTTTATTTCCCTTCTTGTAGTAATACTTCCAACATTCCACGTCTTTGGCCATTGGACTGCTTGATGCTGTTCTTGATTTCCTCCTTGATCTCTTTCTTTCTCTTGTCTCTTCTTTAGTCTCTCTGAATATGAATATCCTCTGATCTTTTCCCACCACTTGCTCCTCTATGCAATCATCCTTATCACATACTTTTCTTTCACCCCTTGATGCTTTATTACCACCACTCTCTTCTTGTTTTCCCTCTAAATCCAACTTATACACTTCTGCTTCACTTTCATCCTCCTGAGTAGAGGTTATCTACAGAGACACAAACACCAAACAAGTACGAGATTAGATACTTGCAACCCTCACAACATTAAGAGACAGAGAAGACTCACTTTGGGAGTGTTTTCGAGTGCTAAAACTTGTAGAGGAAGGCCGAACTCTGCTGCTATCTCAGCCACTAACTTGGACTTAGCATCATCAGATACTAAGATTCTTGAGAGTTTTTCTATAATCTGCAATGTGAGTATATGTTTAGTACTTGCAAGGCTCTTACAAGTAAAGAGAAGAAGAGGAAGAAGGCATGGACAAAAAACCTGAGAGTTGACATGGTTTCCAGGCAAAAGATGTAGAGCAGTTGACACAAAGTTTTGCCCATACCTCTCTCCAAAAAGAATCCTCAAGGTCCTTAGCTCAGGCAAGTCACCACACCTCGCAGAAGCAAATATAAGCGTTGAAACCGCTTCGTTGACGCCATCAGAAACTTCTCTATGCCTTTTAATGTAAGAGAGGTTGAAGAGGATGTAGTCAGAGAATTGGAGAAGCAAGTGGTAGAGAGACATGAGATTCTCATCAAGGTAGAGATCATGAGCCCGACGTAGAGCACGGTCTCGTTCACCAATGCGGAGTAACTGGACTATGTCGTGTCGTAAGTGTGAAGAAATGACGTGTTTCTTGTTCTTGAGAAGCTTGAGACGACGCTGAAGCTGTTTCAACACTCTCTTGCACTTTGAAGCCTTTCTCCATCCAAACAGAAAACCAAACATGGTTTCTTTTGATGTTGGTAACTTCGTATGTATCTCACAAGCATCAAAAGATGGAACTCTTGAGAGTTTGTAGGAGAAAGTGGGGGGTCTCATCACGATTATGGTGTAGTGGACGTGGCCCTTGACGGTTATCACTTCCTTATTCTCTATTTAACACATGCAAATAAAACTCCACACACTAACGTTTATCAGTTTAATAAGCCTCCACACACTAATAATATATTGTGTCATACTTTGATCTAGGCATGGGCATATTTATCAGGAACCGAATAACGGAACCATACCAACCTATAATAGCTAAAACCGAACCGAATTTCATAAATAAAGATCACATATCTAAACATATCAATTATATTTAGTTTCTAAATAATTAAATATTTTTAAAATATTATTTATAAATCAAAATATCAAATTACGAAAAAAAAATTGACCTAAAATATTTAAAATTGTCCAATTTATCCAATATTTTTGTCCAAACAATCCGAAAAACTTGAATTATCTATCAGTTTTATCTATATTATCCAAAATTACCTTAACCAAACCACAACTGAACTGGACTAATTGCTTTTTAGATATTAACCGATTTCCAATTTTGCTATGGAACGAAAATAACCGAATCAAAACCATACCAGATTTTGTAAATAACCAAATAGTTCCTAAATCTCTAGAACCAGAAAACCAAGCACCTAGGCCTACTTTGATCTATATATACTCAAATCTTTCTTCAACGTAAAAACAATATAGTGGTATGTACCAAAGTTTTCATGTCAATTTAATGCGTTACAACTTAAAACATACATGTACAGGAGTGGTCTGCCTTTTCTTCTTTCTTTTCTATAATGGAAAAACGAAAGTAGTAGGAAAGAGAACTAGCTAGGAGGAGCAGGAAAGCATGCATACGCCTGGCCTGTAAGCCCAAGCTGGAGGCAACCTAGCATATTTCTCCATCCCAGGCTGCTCCTCGTAAGGCCGTTTCATGAGACGGATCAAGTTGTTGACCTCTGAGAAATCTCCTTGTTCAGCTGCATCTATTGCGCTTTGGCAAAGATAGTTCCTCAGAACATACTTTGGATTCACTGAATCCATTCTTGCTTTTCTTTCTTCATCTGATGTGTCACCACCACTCACCTACAGTTTGTCAAATCCACACCACATAAAACAAGGAGTTGCATCAACTAGAAAAAAGATACAGGGACAAACAATGTGATATACCTCCTGTATATACCCTCGCACCCATTTGATCCAAGCTTCTTTTCTCTCCTTTCCAATGTCCAAGAGCGCAGGTCTCAAAGGTTTCAATAACTCATCATCAGGTGTGTTGAGGTTTGCTTTTACATTTGAAAGAAGCCTGAAGAAGTTTGTGTAATCAACTTTATCAACAGCCATATTGTTCAGAAGGTCACTAGTCATCTCCTTGTTGTACTTGGAAAGACCAAGCTTCTTTGTCATTATGGCTTCATACTCATCCATGAATTTATCACCATACCTAATATCACAAGAATCATAACACTTAACCACTCAAGAACAAGATTTCAAATCAATAGTGGAAAACAAAGTTACCTCTCCATGGCGTAATCTGCCTCCTTTTCATTTATCAGCTGAGCAGCAGCTAGAGCCTCAGCGAATTGAGCAATATTCCACAAGCCGATGTCAGGCTGATTTGCAAAACAGTATCTTCTTCCAGGGAGGTCTGTTGTGTTTGGGGTGTAACTTGGATCAAAAGCATCTAAGAAACCAAACGGGCCATAGTCAATGGTTTGACCCAAAATGCTCATATTGTCAGTGTTGAGCACACCATGTGTGAAGCCTACACCTTGCCATCTTGCAAATAAGGTAGCTGTACGCTCCGCAACTTCAACAACCCATGCTAATATAGTTGAAGAAGCAGAAAAGTCAGTTCAATATTCGCCAACATGGTCCTAGCCGAAACTAAAACCATTGTAAACCAATTTAAATCAATCTAAATTAATCTATATCTGTTAAATTAAGAAATAATGTCAATATAAATCCAAATTTTTTGATAATTTTTGATAATTCATCAAAATAGTTTTTTATGAATAAAAACAAAAACAAAATTATCATATATACATGTAAAATATAATATATAAATCAATAATCGGCCAAGTGAATAGCAAGAGTTTCATCTGTGATATAAATGGCATCTCATGCAGCATTTTAATGAATACTTCGTTAGGAAACTTACCAGCATACTTGTTTGATGTTAGATCCACAACTGAATCATCTTCACTGCTGGTTCTGAAAGATAAGCTATCGCTTCTGTTCATGCTCTTCTCTATATGTGGGAAATGATGTCTAATGGCATAGTCTGCCAACTTCCTAACAATCTCAAGATCCTCTTCTCCTCTAGAAGCATGTATTTGGTATGAGCCGAACCGGAGAAACGACTGAGAAACCCTGCAAACGATAGCACCAGGTTCTTCCTTCGCATTGCCACTGCAAACATACAATAGTAGTAGTCAACCAACTAGAAACCACCACCTAGACCATGTAGATTTGGAAGGGTTTTTTGGGACATACTCATAAAACATGTCGCGAATGACACCTTGACCTGTTGTGAGAAGACAAAGAGCGCGAGTGGTAGGGATACCAAGACAATGCATAGCTTCACTACAAAGAAACTCCCTGATGCTACTACGCAGCACTGCAAGGCCATCAGAGAAACGGCTGTAAGGAGTCCTACCCGCGCCTTTGAGCTGAAGCTCCCATCTTTCGCCTTTAGAGTTCAAAACTTCTCCAAGAGTGATGGCACGACCATCGCCAAGTTGTCCAGCCCACCTGCCAAACTGATGGCCTCCATAGCATTGTGCATAAGGCATTCTGTAGACAAAAAAGATTATCGATTAGAAACTTTGGTTTTAAGAAGTTTGAACTTATAATCAGTTTTGGGTTTTAGGATTACTTACGCTCCTGGCAAAGGTTTAGCACCAGAGAGTAGGAGAGGGAAATCTGGCCTTTCAAATCTATAAGTCCCAAGAGAATATTCTCAAGAGTTAAAAACCAAAGTCACAAGTAGAAGGAGACAGAAACACAGGTTGTGAAACCGCAACGGATATGATGTTGTAATAACACTCTTAAAACTTAAGTTCTATACAGTGAAATGATCTTTTGCAACCAGAAAGATCAAGACTTTTAGTCTGAGCATACACGTGAAGAAAAAGAATCAAACTCACTCTTTAGGATGTAGATCCAAGAGCTCTGCAACAGAATCAGACCATGATACAAGCTGAGGATCATCTACTTGTACTGATGGGGAAACTTTTGAATAACAAGCATTAAATACCTGCCCAAAATTACAATTAAACAAAATCAAAATCCGAGTTAATTAGCTTAATAAGTAACACTAAATAGCACACTGACTGAAACATGTCAAATTCACATAATATACCCAAAGTTTCTGATCCAAAATGCATAGACTTTTTAGTTAAAGGAACCTTCAAATGAGCAACAAGCATTCAACCAAAAAAAAAAATCTTTAGCTTGAGTACTGACCACTCAACCAACACGTAAAAAATATCTTTTTTTTATTTACCTTACGTGAGATAACATCGGTTCTGGGATCACAAGGCAACTCGTTAACAAAGGAGTGGTCCCAGTTAAACTCTTCGAGCTCCCTTTTGATCTTTTCACCTTCATCAGTTTGATTCTTCGTATCTTCCCCTAACGAATCCGTTTCCGGAGCCGAAAAAGATTCCATCCGAGGGAACGAAGAAGAAGAAGATCGAGAAGGGACTACTAATCGTAATTCTCGGCGAAGAGAGGGGCAAAAAGGGAATTTCGCAGAGGAAGTGAAGAGATTAAGTGGTCGGAAGTAGAAGCAAGACGACGGACACACACGCAACATCATCATCGCTCCTCCTCCTTCTCCTCTGTTCACATTTTTCTAATCCAAAGTTTTGTTTGAATTTGGCTTCGGACCGAACCGTTGGTTTATCTGTTTCAGACCAATATCGGTTCACTTCTTTTTTTTTGTCGTTTGTTGTCTTAAGCCAAACCGATTTATGTTGGTAATAAAACCGTAATTTCGGTCGGATTTACTTCGAACCGGGTTTAAGACAGAACCAAAACAGATACGAAGTGAAACCAAAAACGACAAACCTTGCCGTCGTTTTTTTGCGTAACTCAAACCAACCTATCAACTGGGGAAAAAATTAGGGCAAGATATTGTCGGTTTCACGTCCGCGGCTCATAGATTTCTCGGAAAATCATTGACGGTTTTGTTCCTGAAATTCCGAATTATCAGCTTCCGGGAGATCTAGCGTTCTCTGAAATTGAATTGGGCGGTGAGAAAGTTTCTTACATGAATCCAATCTTCTGATCTTTCGGGAGTAATGGAAAGTTTTGATTGATACGAAGTTTTCGAGAGAAGATCTTAAGAACACCCACGAAAAAAAGGTATTTACTTTTTTTTTTTGGATTTTTCATTCAAATCTGTGTAATTTTGAGGTTAGTTCCGTCGCAATTAGGGTTTAGGAAAGTGTAGTTCTTGAATTTGGATATTCTATTTCAGAAATTTAGCGAAAAGTGGATTCCTTTCATGATTAGGATTGTTTCTAACAAAATTTCTGTTAGTTGGAATCTCGTCATGTTTGGTTACTGTTCTAGAGTTTAAGAGCTGTGACCTTGTTTGTTTCTATGAGTTTTACTACTGAGTTTTTGTGAAGGTTTCATAGTTGACTTTTGTCAACGAAAGTTAGTGCTCTTCGTGCACTTAAGATTCCCAGCTTTGACCTGAAAAAAAGTGAAGGTTTTTGGTATGTTGAAGAGTGAGTGTTTTGTGTTTTTTTTGGTTTTGCAGGTCGTCTTTTGGTGAATTAGACAGGTCTCATACCACGTTTTGATTCTTTAGGATCCCTGTGAAGCATCACCGGGAAATAACACAAATGGATTACCGACCTTCTGACAGTAGTGGTGAGTCTTGTCTTCTTTCAAAAATGTTCTGTCTAGCCGTTTCTTAACTAACCTGGTGTTAGTTTGTGTCCTCAACAATAGAATGTTCTTTTTATTGTAATTGTGTTCCATGTTTTTTTTTTGCTTAGAAGATTTCACTCTCAAAGTTTGTATTTTCAAACTGATCTACTATGATTTCTCTGTATATCTGTTACTCCCTGATTGGTGATATGTTGTTTTTCTTTTGAAACTCAGGTACGGATGATGACTTACCTCCATCACATCAAAGTAGATATCAAAGAAGCGGGAGACCTACCGGTAATGGCAGGCCTTCAGTTATGAACTCGGCTCCTTTATCAAGAGTGCACAATGACATGGAAACTCAGATCCATCTCATTGAGCAAGAAGCCTATAGCTCAATACTCCGTGCATTCAAAGCCCAGTCTGATGCTATCACTTGGGTACTTTATTTTACGTTTTACTAACTCCATGCTTATGTAACTTTAACCATCTAAAAATGTATATATAAAAATTATTCAGGAGAAAGAAAGTTTGATCACTGAACTAAGAAAAGAACTTCGGGTGTCTGATGAGGAACACAGAGAGCTGTTATCAAGGGTTAATGCTGATGAAATGATCAGGCGAATAAGGTCTGTTTTTTTAAATAATGATCTTCAATTAAATCGACGTCAAAACTTTGTAGCTAATGATGTTAAATTATAATCATTTCAGGGAATGGAGAAAGGGTAACATCGTTCCTCAGATGGTTCATGATAATGCTCCAAGTCCAGCTGTTTCAGGATCACGTAAGAAGCAAAAGACATCACAATCAATGGCCTCCATGGGCCCTCCATCTCCTGCTCTCCACCCTTCAATGCAACCATCTTCTTCTGCGCTAAGAAGGGGAGGTCCTCCACCAGGTCCAAAGACCAAGAAGCCAAAGACAGTAAGTCATATGATGACTCTTTTTCTCTCAAATTCTTCATTGACTAACAAACAGCAAGTCGGTGCAGTTCCCAGCTACAGGCATTGCTGGGAGGCCTCAGGCTGGTGGATTTACAAATGAACTAGGTGAATCAGGAGCAAATGACCCGTTGATTGGAAAGAAGGTATGGACAAAGTGGCCTGAGGACAACCATTTCTATGAAGCTGTTATTACTCAATACAACCCTGTGGAGGTATCTTATCTTTCATTCCTATATGTATGTTAATGTTTTAGTGCCAAAACTCCACTTTCTGATATTTTTTGTTTTCCTTGAACATTGATAAAGGGGCGGCATGCTTTAGTGTATGACATTGGCACTACGAATGAAACTTGGGAATGGGTAAATCTTAAAGAGGTAATAAAGCTTTAACTTTTCTACTTGTCTTTCTTACCCTTTCACAGTTATGCAGAAGATTAATTAGTTCACTGCTACTCAGTATGATCATGAATGATGATGAACTGCTTCATTTGATTAATAATTTAGACGCAGAGAACATCAACATCTACTGGTTCAGTTTCTTTATTACCACCAGGAGGATAATTGTGTTATTAGTGCTAAAAATCTATATTTTCTCTAGAGCTCATCTCAGTCTTGGATTCTGATTGCTCTTTTTATATATAATCATAGATATCTCCTGGAGATATCAGATGGGAAGATGAGGATTCTGGGGTTTCTCGTAAAGGAGGACATCCTGGGCAAGTCCGTGGAAGTACAAAGGCCATGCCTCGTGGTGGTCCTATAGGTAGAGGTAGGGGAAACATGAAGATACAGCCACACAAGACACAGAATGGTATTGGGAAGAAAGCTTTAGGCGATATTGAAATACTCCACACTGATACACTAATAAAAGAGGTATTAAATCCAAGTTTTTGGATTATGAGAATGTGGAAGTTCACAATTGTTATTGATTTTTATTTATTTTTTGTTACAGATAGAAAAAGTACTTGGTTCAATTAATCCTAACCCAGCAGAGGTAGAGAAAGCAAAGAGAGTGCTAAGAGTAAGAACCATACTCATGCATGTGTTGTTTGTATCAGGAAAAAGATAAGTTGACTATAGTTTTACTTGGAAATGGTTTAGGATCATGAGCAAGCTCTTGTGGATGCAATTGCAAAGCTTGAAGAATTATCAGACGGAGAAAGTGGTAATATTTGATAGGGTCCTTCTAACTCTCTCCTCAGGTTCAAATCTTTCTTGCAGCTCTTAGATTAAAGGGGTTTGTTGAACTGAAGTTATAATTGTGGATGTGATTTTTTGTCTTTAAACGCAGATGGTCTGGCTAAAAAAGGTGTAGATGGTGGTGGATATGAGGGAGATTTTGGAAAATTGTATGGATAAAGCAAAACTGTATTTTGTTTAGGGAGATTATTTGTAATGATGACCTTTTGTGTGCCACATAACTACAGTAACTTGATTTGGAAATTAGGGGTCTTGAGCATTGTAAAATCCACCACATCTATACTATTATTTAAGAAGTAAATTTGCTTAGTTGTCATGTTCTCCATAAGTTTAGGTAATTTTGTTTATTTATCATATCTATAATATTATATATAATTTATTTATAAATAAAACAAATTTATGTGAATATATCATATTTTAGAAAATAAGATAATTCTTGTGAATTATGTTGTTATCTATAAATATATTTTAAGAATTATCTTATTATCTAGAAATATATTTTCATATATAAAATTTAAAAAGATAATTCTTATGTTGTTATGTTGAAAATATATTTCTCTATTATTAAACTTAAAATTCAGATATAAAAATTATATTATTAATAATTAATTTTATATTTCAGAAAATAAGTTAATTCTTATGTATTATTATCTTGAAAATATATTTTTCTATTAAAAAATTTAAAATTAACATGTAAAACATCTATACTATTATTTAAGAAGTGAATTTGATGTTTGCTGATTTGTCATATTTCCATGATTTTGAGTAATTTTGCTAATTTATCATAATATCTATAATTTTATATATAATTTATTATATATTTAAAACCAATTTATATTAATAGTATCAGATTCTTATAAAATAAGATATTTCTTATGTATTAAGTTGTTGTTTTGAAAATATATTTTTGTATTATAAATTTAAAATTAAGATATAAAAAGTTGTAGTTATTCTTATGTATTATGTTGTTATCTTGAAAATATACTTTTATATTATATAATTTAAAAGTAAAATAGAAAAATATATATTATTAATCAAATATAAGTTATCACTCAAGAAAAATTATTTAAAAATTGAATTTGTTGATTCATTAAGTTCTCCATGATTTTAGGTAATTTTAATTATATGTCATAATTTTTATAATCTTATATAATTAAAAAAATTATTATGTTATATTTTTAGAAAATAAAGAACTTATGAATTATATTTTTATCTTTAAAATATGTTTTCTATTATAAAATTAAATTAAGATATAAAAATTACAATTAAATAGAAATTAAGTAAAAAAATGTATAAATATTATAATTAAATATAAATCAAGCAAAATAATTATACAAATATATTTTTTAAATATTTCTGAAGTTTGAGTTTTGTCATTAATAATTTTTTGATGTTTGATTTTTACTTTTTGAAAACATAAATAATAATTTATTATGCTGATTTTTAAATTAATGAAATATCAACTAATAATATTTATAAGAGAATTATGCCCGCAAGTGCGGGCAAAACACCTAGTTTCATATAAATGTAGAATGTTGCAGAGAATGTGTTAAACGCATCGTTACAAGGGCCCAAACTCATATTAGGACTCAAACGAAGGCCCATTAGGCCCGTTCGCTGTATACATTTTTTCTTTAATTAAAGAAGAAAAAGACTACACTGAGTGCCAACGTGGCGCCTGATAATAGCTCCACGACATTTGTACGAGAATCATATTTGTCTGACTCGGCCCCAGCCTGTAAACGGTAATCTGTGTCCGTACAGGTTTAAAGCTCATCTCCTATAAGAATACCGAAAATGACGGATATGCCCATCTGCTCTACAATCTACAGCCTGTAGAACCGGAACTTTAGTTTAAACCCTTTTATTACACGACAAACTCTTGACGCGAAGCTCGTCGTCACTCCTTTGCTTCCCACAAGAGAGGTTTTCATTTTTTTGAAAATGGCGGCGATGAGATACAAAAGAGGCGTTCTCATCACAATCATCTTCTTCTCCATTGTCCTTTCTCCATGCTTACTTGCTCACTCTTTTTCTACAAAATGTAAGTCCCTCTCCATAATCTTTTCTCCATCTTTGGTTCTTCTTATATATGACGAGTCCTCTTTTTTTTCTCTAGCGTTGATCTTTTGGTTAGGAGAAAGAGAAGATGTGAAAGCCATGGAGAAGGTAAAATCTTAAACCTATAATGATTATTATTATGCAAAATTTTTTTTGAAGTGAACGAACATTAGCTTTGAATTTTGATATTCGTTTCTATTCAACGTTGGATATAATATATGATATTCATTTGTATTTTCATTTTAGTTTGATGTAAATATAAATATCAACTATATATAGGAGAACGAGATTGGTGTTGGATCAGCAACTGAAGTTGAAGAAAGACAAGTGCCAACTGGATCTGACCCTCTTCATCATAAACACGTTCCCTTTACTTCTCCATAGATTAATTGCTTCTACATCTTCTGTTTGAGGCAACTTCCCATTAGATTATATTAGTGTGTAATACTTTTAGGTTCCACTTTTTGATTATCCGAGTCTTAATTTAATTCCAGGTTTTTAATTGATTAACTTCGTTAGTTGGAGAACGTACCAATCAGTTTTGTCATCTTCTGATAATATATGTAGCCGAAATATTTGGGGATGCTGACAAATATTGTCATTTTAATCTGATTTTAATTTAAACAACATTATGTATATTTTAAATTTCGAAGCAGCCTTAAATTAAAAGAGATATAATTAGGCTAATGAAAATATCTTATCTAAGGTGGAAATACAAGAAGATAAGATTTGTGGTAAATATCCCTTTTTTCAGCACCTTGGTAGGAATTCCATATGAAATCTAAAACATATTATACCTAAAAGGCTGTTCATTTTTTTTTGAAAAGGATTGCTTACCTAATATATTTGTCAAAAAAAATAATAATCCCCAACTCAACCAAACCTTCAATGGTTATTTTTCATAAAATTTTAAAACATTAGAACCATATTTTTATTTAAATACGATTTATAATAATTGTATAATTTGATAGTCTAACTAAATAATAATATTGTAATGTGGATTAAAATATGTAACATATTTTATAATAATGTTATTTATTTTGAGTTGCTAAATAAATTTAAACTTATATTAAAAAATTAAAAAACAGTTTATTTAATGCGGAAACACAGAATTCAAGAATAAATAGCCTATCATCGAGTATCAAGAAAAAACCGCTCTTCATCGTTTACTGGGATATACAGAGCCGACCATAAAATTTTGGAGGCTTCTTGCTATTTTATGTGTAAAAAAAATTTTTGAGGACCTAAATTTTTTTTTTAGAAATCCATACTTGTATAATTTTCTTCGAAATTTTAGAGACATGTGATGAATGTTTCACTTGTCAGGCCGGCTCTTATCAGACCGGCTCTGAATACAAAGTTACGAGTTTGATCTACTGGACAAAAAAAATTCGGTAATACAAAAAAAAAGAAGTATTATACAGTTAAATATACTAAATCTTGTTTCTTTTGCTAATACCAAATATCTAAGATTGTGTTTTCCATGTAAATGAATAAACTAAAAGAAGCCTATATTCTCTCTCCATATAACACATCCTTAAATAGGGGAAACGTTCGGATTTAAACAAATCCGTAACGGCAAATAAAGAAAAGTAAACAAATAAACAAAAAAAAACCCGTAACGGACCAAGGGAAGAAGGCACGTGACGAACACGCCCCGTGACTATATAAATAAAGGTCCCCCTCACCTTCGCACTCAGTAGTGATTCTGTTGCGGCGCGTGGAGACTGGTGAAAGCTATGGCCTCTAATCTTCCTCCTCCTTCCAGCAACAACAATCGCATGTTATCTCCGGCGGAGCAGCTTGTTCTCGACATCTGCGATCCCAACCTCAGGGAGAATGCTGTCCACGAGCTCTCCAAGGTCGTTTTCATTATTTTTGTCTCTAACTTAATCGGACTTGCGGTGGATTAGGAAGTTTAATCGTCGTTAGGTTTTTTCGTTTTTTGGTAAATCGAATTGCGTTAGGTTTAGGTTTCTTTCGTGCGGTGAAATCTAAGACGTGGTTTGAGATTTGGAGGCAAATCGTTGATACTATAAGTAGATGATGATGATGATGTATGTGCAGTGCATTAGGTCTAGGTTTAGGTCTAGGTTTCTTCTGTGCGGTGAATCTAAGGCGTGGTTTGAGATTTGTAGGCTAATCGTTGATACTTTAAGTAGATGATGATGATGATGTATGTGCAGTGCGTTAGGGTTTAGGTTTCTTCTGTGCGGTGAATCTAAGGCGTGGTTTGAGATTTGTAGGCTGATCGTTGATACTCTAAGTAGATGATGATGTTTATGCTCTTCTGTGCAGTGAATGTATGATAATCGAAGAGATCACTGTAATTTGATTATGAAAGTTTTAATGGTTTTGATGTTTGCTGAATTTGATTTCATATAGTAGCCTGAAAATGTGTATGTTCTAAAAAAAAAAAAAAAAAAAAAATGTGTATGTTCTTGTTTATCAGTAACAATATAACATATGCGACCTT